ACACACCTAGCATGGAAAATATCAGCCCAAATGGTTAGTCTGGTGAAGTTATAAGCAACTGCAAACAGGATCTTATCATGGAAAGTATCGGGCAACCTTATCAGTGTTTTAAATAAATATATCAAACACTATCTACTCTTCATACCCATGCCCATTTCATTGCTGCTCTGCTTTGTTTTTCTCATGAACCTGAAACAAATACCAGTGGGGGTTCCAGCATCTGAATTACCATGCTAAAGTTATAGAAAATTCAAACTACCTTCCCTTGTATCTGTGCAAAGGTGTCTCCATCCCCCACCCCCAAATCTTTTTGAATGTGAATTTGGTGTTACTTAATATTCATTTAAGTCCTCTTACATTTACAGAATAGGAACAGTCCAAGCAACAAGAGAACAAATTTACTTAGACTAGATGCCTCAGCTCTGATCGAGAGGAGAGTTCACATGTTGATTCATTGATGTTGGTGCTTCTGCCGAGGAGTGCCAACAAAGATACCAATTAATATATATTATAATGGAGGATTCTGTGATATGGCTACCCAGTTCCTATATTCTTATCTCCTTACTGCCACTGTTATAGCTGAGTGCTGTACTAATTAATATAACACTGCTGCAAAGTAGATGGTATCATCCCCATTTTATAGCTGCGGCAAAGGTGTGAATTAAACCCAGATCTCTTGAGTCCCAGGCTTAACCACAAACTATCTTTCCTCCCTCTTGATTGAAACCACTAGCTCATTTTATACAGACCCGTGGAAGCTTTTGAATGGTAAGAACATTTCCACAACGCATCCCCTGTGCCAGGTTAGAACAAGTGACCTAGACAAGAAAGGCGCAGCATCCTATTTCAAGTCCCTTCCACTTGGTGTCTGTCCACAGAAATGTGAAACAAAAATGTTCCTCTGTAAAACACAGTTTGGTACACTGGTGGCTGTTCCCCTTTGAATTTGTAAGCAGAGTTTTTGGAAAAATTAGAATTCCAGGGAAGACTGGCAGAAAGACAGCTTCACTGACAAGTGACTGAGAGGTATAACCAGAGGGGATGAGAAGAGAGTAGAGAACAGAAGGGAAGTACTGACTGGGGACATGACGAGGGAAGGTGTCAGGACATGTGTAGGCCTGGTGAGGCTTGAGAAAAGAGTACCACCAATTCTCCTTCCCTTCAGTGCAGCCCTTGATTTATATATAGCTTGCATAAGCCAGTGGTTTTCATCCTGTGCTTTTTTAGAAAGAGTATTGTCAGAGACTTACCCTTAATAAACTGTAAGTAAGTGAAGTTAATAAGATACCAAAGAGTAGCGTCTTTTACCTTACGTCTGTGACGAACTCTTGGTCAGTCAGTCTCTTTCAAGAGCTATTATAGGGATTTGTTTAGGCTCATTAACACTAGACTGCAGAATTTCTATGTGAGGAATGTGTATATTTTTTTACTGGGTTTGTTGTAATAATTGTTTTCTGACCATTGCCAATTATTTTTGGCAAATATTGTCCTAGTACAAAAAGACTGAGCCACTACTCTTAGCAGGCTTATAGAATTTGTTTCTATGTGTATATAATAGCAGTGGCTTCAGTCTGATATGTTGGAGGCAGGTGCTATGCAAGCCCTCCACATACCGCTGCTAACGCATCTTAATTCTGACCCCTGCTGTCACAATCCTGGGCCTTTACTGAGGAGAGAGTTCTAATTGTGCTAAATTATGTGATCATTTCATAATTTAAATAAATGAAGACTGGGAAAAAACTACCAAACTAATTTTTACCTGTGACCTACATCAGGTTTAGAACCCAGGTAAAGAAGAATGTACAATACCTCAGTGACCTAACCAGTCCCCTCCCCGCCCCCCATTGGAAGCATTCTGGAGAGTCTTTGTATATACATTTTTTCAGCCCTTACTAAGCTTTCATAGCGCTTGAGAATATCTTGGACTGAAACTCTTAATTGGAAACAATAAGTTTATGACCCACTATGGAACATAACAGGAAAAGGAAATCAAATTAACGAAGCAACAAAAAGAAGCTTACATATTTACACAATACTTTTCTTGTTCTCGGAACTTCCCATGTCATCATTTTCCCCCAAGTCTTTGTTCACCACCATATCTGTTTATAGCCTTTTTCTTCTTCTCAGCTTGCTAAGAGGGGACCACTTTCAAGTGACTCTTGCTGCGTGTAAGTTGTTCTTGTGAAGTGTTACCTGAGGCTCCTCTGAATCGCTCAGCCCATCCTGCTCCAATGGAGTATTCACTCCTGTCACAAACGCTTCAGCACTGGTCCCTACATTTTTGTTCTCAGTTTCTGAGGTAACCAAGTTGAAATCCTGTCATCTTCTTGTAGCTCCTTTGAGTGTCCTAAGGGATAACTTTGATCTTGGTTTTGAGTCCCAAATGGACCATTTCTTGACTCAGAACTGAATAAAGTCCATAGCAAGGTTATAGTCACCTCAGGAAGTCTATCCTTTCTCTTGATTTGATGGAAACAAGCCAGCTCTCCAGTTGTAAAAAGTTCCCCCATATGATCGTCCATCATACTACTTAAAACTCTTATACTTTATCTAAGGGTATTCAAATTTGCTCTGTCAAACATATTTTTGTATTGTGTATATATAGTCCAAATGATCCAAATTCCTTTGTTCCTCTTCCAAAACGTTAGGGACCTCAGCTGCTGATCAAATACGAGGAGTCATGAGGTACCATTATACCTCTTGATTTCTCTTTTTATTGAGTTTTGAGAAACACTGAAATCATCGGGTACCGTTAGTCAGTCAGACTCTATCTTAGGCAAAAGCGTGAGCAAGAACGTCAATAACCATGCTCCCCATTGGAGATACCCGCACCCCCAAGATGTTAGTCCCCTCACTGCCTTAGTGGGGACGCTCCTTTTACCAAAAGCACCATATTTTTATGTTGTTTCTGTGTTTTATCAAATAAAATTCTCTCAGAGGTTGGTTAAGGGTTTTGTAACCCCACAGAGTCCAGTTATTTTAGTATCATTGCATAACTTTAATACTAGTTATATAGATTCATCTACCTGCAGCCAGTGCCTGGTGTGTTTCCTATTGCCTATACAAAATTGCATCTTCTAAATTCCAGACTTTTCCACTGTGACCAAAAGCATTTACTTTCCTCTGTATTCTGAGAGAACACTACTATATTCCACAATGGTTGTGGTTCTCTTCTATTGCGAAATTCCGTTGTTTCACCACCATTCACTGTGGTATCTGAATGCCACGTGAATTTACAATCTTTCACTGGTGCAATATTCCCTGCTTCGGGACTCTTTCGCTCTTAGATTGCAGCACTCTCGTGAATCCTCCCCATTCTTGGGCAAAAACTTGGTCTCAGTCTCTAAATATATGCATCTGTCTAATATGAAAGGGTTATTTTTTTTTTAAATCATGGATGAGACCAAAGTGGAGGGCAATCAAGTGCCTTTTTGTAATTCTTTAAATACTAAATTGCACTCTGCCAACCACTAAAAAGGCTGTCCTTTTCACTGAATTCTATACAATAGTTTTACAACTGACAAATGGAGAAATAAGAGCAGAGCCTTTTAAGACTCTTTCCATCTGTGAGAGTTTGAGGCAAGATAGAGCTGGCTGATTCCCCAGTGACCTTTTTGGAACCTCCTTCCTCACTGATCATATGGCAGGGTAGGCTACTTCTTCTTGAAACTACTTGCATATCTGTAGGCTCAGTTTCAAAATGGTATTCACAAGCTTTATACCATCCAGTACTCTCTCTGTACATAATTACAAATTCATGGGTGTAGTGCATAATCTAAAGAGGCAGCAGTACTTTATATTTGAAATAGCCCCAAAACTGCCAATTTTCAAAACCCCGAGTTGAGAGACATTGTGGAAAATGAAAACAACTACCTTGTGTATCATCAAGTTGTGGCAAAGGTTAGAAATCCTTTAACAGTGACTTCATTGTTTTCCTATAGACCTCACAAACTCCAGTGCTCTTAGGAGAGATTTTTAAAACACGGGCCTCCTTTTTTTGCACCTGCTGCAACACCTCCACACACACACTAATCCACTGATTCCCAAACTAGGGGTTGAAACCCCAAGTGGGGTTGCACCATCAGCCGAGAGGGTCACGGTGATCCCAACTGTGCGGAGGAGGCCATTTTGCTCACATGTACGGTGTGGGCAAGATCACGCTGCAAAATGGCATCCGCCGCACAGCATGACCTTGCACGTACAAGTCATGCAACGTCACACAGTGTGGAAAATGCCATTTTGTATTAACATACTTCCTGCTGTCTGGGATCGTGGGAAGCAATAAAGCTGAAAATGCAGTCAAAATGTTTGGAAACCGCTGCACTAATCCTTTCAAAGTAGCTGCCTAAACTGTCACTGAGTCCCTGCTCACAGCCACTTAAATCCTGTCTGCGCGAGGAAGTGTTCTAAACATTTCTCACCATTGCTACACAGAGTTCAATTCCAACAATGTTCGGAACTTCGGGAGCCCTAGTGTGGTCAGCCCACTACCTGCTAATACCGTTTTAAGTACTGTGCTGGCAAGTCTTGCTCTGGACAGCTCTAATAAACCCAGTGTTTAAATTGGCTTCAGTGGCTGTCAGCTTGTCTACACGAGGGCTCTCAACATTGCTAACGCCAGAAAAGGGCCTAAGGGTTAAAGCCAGCAGGGTTGGGCAGGTGCATCAACCTCCCTACGTACAGCTGTTCTGAATCTCAAAAAGATACTCATTTCGACTGACTTACTGGAGCCCTTGTGGTTAAGAGGAGCTGCTGTTAACTAGCTCAGTTTAAAAGCATATATTGCTCTCATCAGTTAACCCAACTCATAAATACATTAGATGTCTAAGAGTGACTGTAAACCTGTTCTGTGAGTTTCCTTCCCCATCTCAAATAGAGCTACTAGCACAAAACGTATTTTTCATACCTCTACTGCTTTTGCCACAGTAATAATGCTTTAAGTGAATGGGGTCAGCCATGCTGAAATATGCTTTAAATTTTCATTCTTTTAACGTTTACAGGATTCCAAGCTCCCACACCCAGAGGAGCTTGCCACGGCACCAAAAAATCAGAGTGTTGCTGCTAACCTTAACAAGCGACAGACAACTGTAATCATGGGCAGACACTCACAGGAGAAAGCCACTCCTTTTGGTGAGATAGCCAGCTCTTTGGTGAGCCGATTATCTGAACCGCAGAAGATGACTAAAGCCCTTCTAAAACAGCTTAAACAAGTGAATTTACCAACAGTGATGCGCCCTTTAAATAAGAGTTTAATCAAAGATGACAGATGGAAAAACATAGATGAAGCTCAAGAGAAACGCAGATATTTTCTTTATGACTTCTGTAAAAAATACAGTAGTGAGAACCGGCTTAGAACCCATCTAGTGCGTATGGTGTCCAGAATATACGTGGAGGATAGACACAAAATCTTATACTGTGAAGTGCCTAAAGCAGGCTGTTCCAACTGGAAAAGGGTTCTGATGGTGCTTAATGGACTTGCCTCTTCAACATTCAGTATTAGCCATGATGCCGTGCACTATGGAAAGCATCTAAAGAAATTGGACAGTTATGACTTAAAAGGGATACAGACACGTTTAAATACCTACACCAAGACCATATTTGTACGTGACCCCATGGAAAGATTGGTGTCTGCATTCAGGGATAAATTTGAACATCCAAACAGCTACTACCACCCAGTGTTTGGAAAGGCAATCATTAAGAAATATAGACTTAATGCACGTGAAGAGGCCCTGAAAACCGGATCAGGCGTGAAGTTTGAAGAATTCGTCCGATATTTGTTAGATTCCCATCGCCCAGTAGGGATGGACATACACTGGGAGCAGATTAGTAAACTCTGCCATCCCTGCCTCATCAACTATGATTTCATAGGGAAATTCGAAACGCTAGAAGAAGATGCCAATTACTTCTTGCAACTGATAGGTGCTCCAGCAGATCTGAAGTTTCCTAATTTCAAAGACAGACATTCCTCCGATGAAAGAACAAATATGGAAGTAGTGAGACAATACTTAAAGGAGCTGTCAGGTTCAGAGAGACAGTTGACCTATGATTTTTATTACTTGGATTATTTAATGTTTAATTATACAATGCCAATTGTATAGCTCTGAATGATTTCAAAATTCCATCAGACATTTAATGATTTTGGCCTCAGACCAGCAACTGTAATATTACCATACAGTTCTGAGTGGAAGAAATGTAACTACTAAGTGTAATTGTCTTGACTTAGTGGAGATTTTATAAATGAAAGTGACACCAATTGAGACAAAATTGTTGGAGCAATGCACAAAAGAGACCTATAAACTATCTAATTTGCAATAAAAGGTCTGAAAAAAGCTGCTTTTGAATATGGATTATATTGTGGAAGCAGTAATCCAGCCAGCTGTTTCATTAGCTCAGCTAATGTTCTTGTAATGGTTGAAAAACATTCAAAATAGCATGGATTTGTGTGTGTCTATATAGGAATAATGTGTCGAGTGTTTTGAATGTATATTTTTTGCTGTCTGTGGCATATTAATAAAAATCATTGGCTAATTCTGTAAGACATATGTAGTGTTACAGTGATGTACCCATTTATCACCTACTCCCTCTTGGCATTTTAATTTTTAAATAGAAATCCATCATGTGATATAAACTATGATCCAAATCCTGAACCTAGTGGCCATCCTCGGTGTCTGGGCAGAATCATAGAGTGGAGGCTGTGGAACATCTGCAGAGGTTTTCTGTGGAGGTAACATCAGTTCAATGGCTATTATCCACCTCCACCGACAGTGGCAAATCCTCCAGCCATGTCCCCTGCTAACTGTTGCCCGTGGGGTATGCACTCATTATTTCAGAACCATTGGTAACCATCCGTAGGAATTGCTCTACTGCAACAGATGCTTCCATCAGAATGCCTGCCACTGGTAGTGCTCTGTGTTCTGTTACCTTTTCTCTCCTTTGCTGAGCTTGGGCCATCAAGCAGCAAACCTCAGAAAGATGGAGGATGGAGCATTCTGAAATGACAGGAAGGGAAATGGCCACTGTAATCCCTGAGGCAGAATTATGGAATTTGAGTACAAAATCCTATCATCCTGGTTATAAAGGAGTGGAACCTGGGGGCAAGAGGGTGGAATACCCTGTCTGTGGCAGATAGAATGAAGTCAGGTATATCTTGAGACTATTGTATTTAACTTTATAACTTTTATCTATATCTCTGTGAGCCAGGGATTGTACAATGGCTGGTTGGGGAGGGTTGTCAAGCTCCTCGAGGAACTAAAATCACTTGGAGGTCATTAATGCAAAATCCCAAGGCTGGTTATGGAGATACCCAGCCCTTTAAGGCTTGGGCTTTCTGAGGAAAAGGGGAAATGACTGGTTTTAGGAGGCTGAGAAAAAGCTTTTTGGGGGTGTAACAGACTCAGGGGTTGCCTTTTGGATTCAGTAAATGGACATGGCCTTTTGTTCAAGAGAGCACCCAACCCTGCTGAAGGGTTGGAAAGACTGTGACCTGCCAGGGTCTCCATAGGACAGATGGGGATTTAGTTCCTGGTTTGGTTTTGTATGTTTTCATTTTTATCCATGAATAAACCAGCTCTGCTTTGGAAGAGCTACATGGTCATTGGTAAAAACACTCTAATTATTCTGAAAGAGAAACTAAAAGAGCAGGAGTTGGACATTTGTCAGACCTGCTTGGGATAATCACAGTGAAGTGCCAGCGGGACTGCAGGCTAAAACCTCGGGTTGGAAGGGAGTGGGACATGCATCTCTGCCCAGAGAGAGGTAAAGGCCTGGGACCTGAGCAGATCATGGAGGTGGGGTTAAAGGTGCAGTTATTCTGAAACTGTGACACCATCATCCCTGATGCAGACAGTTTCTTCTGACACATTATGGAATAGATGCTTGGAATGTCCCAGAATGGGGGGAACCCTCTGCAAAAACTAAGGGAAAGTCCCCATAAAATCTCTACTAAACCTATGAGAACCAAAACCCTACATTTTTTTTTATAGTTTTGAACAGTTACTTCCAGTCTCGGAATATGAGGAATTTTAGAATGAGGAGACCATTCTACAGGAAACTGTCATAAGTAAGTGACTCCCCCTTCTTCACTATCAGAATTACTGCTTCCCGGATTCGTTGTGCCAAACGACTGTATGGCCCTAATCTTGCCAAAGGCAGTCGCTGGGGTGGGGAGATAGGAGAGCTATTTAGCCACCATATATACGCTCTGAGGAATAGGGGGACCCCAGTGCCTTTTTCTACTCTCAACTTTCAGCCTGTGGCAAAGGAGAAGAGAGGGGAGGCCAGTTCCAACCCCAAAAATGCTGCTGCACGCAGCCGGTTCCCTCGCCAATGGAACTGTTGAACTGCTGATGAGCACAGGTAAGAGCACCACTCAGAGCTGAAGGCAGAGAAGTTCCACACTGAGCCATTAGAGGGGAGACCCTACGTTCCTCGCTGCTAGCTGTGCTTGTAGTAAGGGGAAGGAAGAGTCCACTCCCCACATGACTGGAGCATGTGGAAGGAGGAAGAGGACACCTTTCAGCTCTCCTCCCAGTGAGGAGGAGGAAAGTACAGCTAGGAAGGGAACAGGCAGCCTGTATTGAGGAGACTGTATGCAAAGGTTGGGTGGAGAGAGAAGAATGTGGAGAGAGGACACTGGGGAGGAGGAACATTTAGCTCTAGGTGGACGCAGAAGTACACAATGTTCTAGGCATGTGTGCACAGGGAAACGTGGCAGCATTGGGTGCACACACCTAGATGTATACACAGTATGGACATATACTTTATTGTACAAATGTAGGACATTGTGGGTCTTTTGGAGGAGAGTACTTGGTACATCTTTGGAGCCAAGTATGAGCAAAAATCACTCCACTGATTTTTTTTTCCCCTCTTCTTTCCTCACCCCCTCCAAATGTTTTTGTTGGTTGTTACTATGAATCCAGTAAGCCAATGGAACTGTACCTGTGAGTAAAATCATGTATGTACTTCAGTATTTCGGGGATCAGGGATTGTGTGTTGAATTCTTTTCCCCCAGATGTAATTGCTGGCCTTTCTTCAAGGGCTTCTGAGTATTCCTCCTTGTAGGATTTGGCCCCCTGGCCATAGAACTGTGGAACTCCCTCAAAAGGCTGTGTCCATTGGGGGCATACAAGTGTGCTCATCTGAGGATGACCTCCGTGTACTACTCTCTATAAGGGAGTGCAGCCCCAACCACCTCGGTTCCTGGACCTCTACCAAAGAGAGCTAGCAGAACTCACCCAACTCATGCCTTTAGTGAATAGAACCTTCTCAGCCCCTTTTTTTGTACTTACTTAGTTTAGTGCAAGTATTTAACTAATCCTGAAATTCCCCCCTCTTTTCATAAGAACATAAGACTGGCTATACTGGGTCAGACCAATGCTCCATCTAGTCCCTTGTCCTGTCTTCTCACAGTGGCCAATGCCCGATGCTTCAGAGGGAATCAACAGAACAGGGCAATTATCAAGTGATCCATCCCCTGTCATCCACTCCCAGCTTCTAGCAGTCCCTTGCCCTGGAACTTTCTAGTTCCTTCACCAGGGCTACGCCCCACCCCAAGACCCATAAGCATTTCAAGAGGTGCGTCTCTTGTTCTGCTATTATACTGCAGTCTGATGCCCATATCCAGAGCCTATTTTGCCTGGGTGAATTGCCACAGACTGCACATCATCACCTAGTGTGCAGTCTGCAGTGCCTTTAATCCCTGGACCAGAAAGCAAAGAGACACATGAGGCTCCAGGCTCAGATGTTTAGAGCCCAGTGCTCTGGCAGGTCCATTGCTGGTGTGGAGACCAGCACCAGTGCCGACATCCTCACCAATCAAACCACAGAATCCCCTCCCAACTCCAGGCTCAGTGCTGCCTTCCACTAAGGGCTCCAGACGAGGATCGCACTTATCCTGGGCAGGGGGCTACTATCTCAGCCAGTGTTGCTCTGGCTGAGAGAATTTCTCCCTGCAGACGGTAACCCTCCTGAGGACCCATATTAGTCATTGTTGAGGGAGAACAAACTGGGGCATCATCCATCTCCCTGCCTGGTGAGCATGGGCAGCCCAAGGAACTCTTGAGGAGAATGGCCGTACATAAGTGATCCACTTTGACATTTTCTAGGTTCAAACTACAGAAAAACTGGCTCTGTCCCTCAGAAGTGGCTGTCTTAATTCAGCCAAGAACACCTGGCTTTCACCTGTCTCATTCCCTCCTGTAGCCAGAGAAGGATATTTAGCAAGGGCCATCAGTTTTTATTCCAACAGCCACTGGCCAATTTTCCGGTGGTATCAGCAGCACAGGAGAAGTCTAGGGAGCTGCAACCTCTCAATCACCCCCCTCAGACAGAAAGAGGCATAAACTTTCTATTAGAAAGTCTCGACTTGCGGGACACCTGTTTTCATGTGGTGATCAAAAGAATTCGCACCAAATACCTCAGGTTCTGTGTGGGGTCAAAGCTCTATCTCTTCAAAGTCCTGCAATTAGATCCATCCACCATGCCTCAGCGTATTCACCAACTGTCTTGCTGTAGCAGATGGTCACCTCAGATACCCAGATGTCTTTGTTTGCCTGTACTTTGATGACTGGCTGCTAATAGCCAAGTCTCAGAACTTGACATGGGCAGTTCAATACATGTGCAGTCTCTTCTAATCACTGGGTCTCCTAATTAACAGGGCAAAAGCTTTTCTTCATACCACACAGAGGATCTCTTTTTTTCAGGGCACATCTCCACTTGACCAAAGCCAGGGCTCTTCTCACAGAAGAGACATACCTCAGGATGCAACAAACTCTGACTACACTCAGGGAGCAACCAGAACAGACATTCAATTTTACGTAAGACTCTTGGGCCTGATGGTCTCCTTCCATATGTCATTCCTTATACTTATCAGTCCATGAGACCATTGCAACATTGGCTTGTAGTACATAGCACACTTTGGTGTAAGGTATATGGCTTGGTCATTGCCCACACAAACAAAGGCCACATTCACTGCTCAGAAACCAAGGGGGGGGGAATAGTATGTGATCAGAACAAACACAACAAAATGCAGATCGGGGGATTGCATGATGAACCCAAAGGATAAGAACACTATACCAGGCTGGAGCACTTACAGTAATGATATACAAGTTGAAAAGATATTTGTGGGAAATCATTGGTCTATGTGAAATTACATGGGAAGGCAAATAAGAATGCTACCACAATGAACACAGGATATCGATACTGGGAAGAAAAGATGGTGGATACCAGGATGGAGTTGCATTGGTGCTAAAGCTGAAGGCAAGCCAGGTTCTAATGTTATTTAACCTAATATCTCCTCATATATTTGAAGGTCAGATTTAGAATCAAATCTGAATCATATAAAAATACATGCACCGAACACAGTAGTGCCCAAGGAAAAAACTGATGAATTTTATAGCAAGCTACAGAAAGCAATATAAGACGCTTCAAGATAAGACATGTTATTGGTGATGGGAGATTTTAATGCAAAAGTAGGACAGGACTAGAATTTCTGTGCTGGAGCCATAGGCAAATTCAGACCTGCTGAAGAA